TTGAGGACACTGAGGACTGGCAATAGTGGAGACTATAGAAAGAGTAGAGTTTCCTGGTGGTACTGAGGCCATTGAAGGATGCTGATCCTCAATTATAGTAGAATCCGTCTGCCCATTGCATCACTTACTCTTTTTTTTCTTTTTTTTTTTTTTCATTGCATTTTAGGTTTTGGGGTACATGTGAAGAACATGCAAGATTGTTGCATAGGTACACACATGGCAGCATGATTTGCTGCCTTCCTCCCCTTCACCTATATCTGGCATTTCTCCCCATGCTATCTCTCCCCAATTCCCCACCCCCTGCTGTCCCTCCCCTATTTCCCCCCAACAGACCCCAGTGTGTGATGCACCCCTCCCTATGTCCATGTGTTCTCATTGTTCAACACCTGCCTATGAGTGAGAACATGCGGTGTTTGATTTTCGGTTCTTGTGTCAGTTTGCTGAGAATGATGGTTTCCAGGTTCATCCATTTCCCTACAAAGAACACAAACTCATCGTTTTTGATGGCTGCATAATATTCCATGGTGTATATGTGCCACATTTTCCCTGTCCAGTCTATCTATGGGCATTTGGGTTGGTTCCAGGTCTTTGCTATTGTGAACAGTGCTGCAATGAACATTCGTGCATCACATTCGCCTTCTGGGTTCAAGCAATTCTCCTGCCTCAGCCTCCTGAGTAGCTGGGATTACAGGCACACACCACCATGCCCAGCTAATTTTTGTATTTTTAGTAGAGACGGGATTTCACCTTGTTGACCAGGATGGTCTCGATCTCTTGACCTTGTGATCCACCCACCTCAGCCTCCCAAAATGCTGGGATTATAGGCATGAGGAGAATAAAAATTTTTAAAAGGAGGTCTGATAAAGTAGGGGATTAATCTTGGAGCTCTTGGCCAGATGCGGTGGCTCATGCCTGTAATCCCAGCGCTTTGGGAGGCTGAGGTAGGCGGATCACCTGAGGTCAGGAGTTTAAGACCAGCCTTACCAACATGGTGAAACCCCATTTCTACTAAAAATACAAAAATTAGCCAGGTGGGGTGGTACCGCCTGTAATCCCAGCTATACCGGTAGCTAAGGCAGGAGAATCGCTTAAATCCAGGAGACAGAGGTTGCAGTAAGCCAAGATCGCACCACTGCACTCCAGCCTAGGCGATAGAGCGAGACTTTGTTTGAACAAAAACAACAACTTGGAGATCTTGATAAGGGCTGCTACTCAGTAAAATTTAAAAACTTTTGCAGTAGCGGCCGGGTGCGGTGGCTCACACCTGTAATCCCAGCACTTGGGAGGCCAAGGCGGGCGGATCACGAGGTCAAGAGATCGAGACCATCCTGGCCAACATGGTGAAACCCCGTCTCTAAAAATAAAAAAAAAAACTTTTGTAGTAGGAGTAAACAAAAGAAGTAGTTGTGGTCTTGGAGTATAAAACTTAAAGTAGTGATTCTGGCTGGGCACAGTGGCTCACGCCTGGAATCCCAGCACTTTGAGAGGCCGATGCAGCAGATCACCTGAGGTTAGGAGTTCGAGATCAGCCTGGCCAACATGGTGAAACCCCATCTACTAAAAATACAAAAATTAGCCAGATTTGGTGGTGGGCACCTGTAATCCCAGCTATTCAGGAGGCTGAGGCAGGAGAATCACTTGAACCCAGGAGGCAGAGGTTGCAGTGAGCCGAGATCCCGCCATTGCACCCCAGCCTGGCGGATAAGAGCGAGACTGAGTCTTTAAAAAAAAAATGGCTGGGCGTGGCAGCTCACACCTGTAATCCCAGCACTTGGGGAGGCCAAGCCAGGCAGATTACAAGGTCAGGAGATCGAGACCATCCTGGCCAACTTGGTGAAACCCCATCTCTACTAAAAATACAAAAATTAGCTGGGCATGGTGGCACAGACCTGTAGTTACAGTTACTTGGGAGGCTGAGGCAGGAGAATAACTTGAACCCAGGGAGGCAGAGGTTGCAGTGAACTGAGATCGTGCCATCGCACTCCAACCTGCCACAGAGCGAGACTCCATCTCAAAAACAAAAACAAACAACAATAAGAAAAAGTAGTGATTCTGAAAGAAGAGCAGATTTGAGTGGTACCAAAATTTGAAATACAATCATGAGAATGATACTTGATGTAGAGTGGAAGAGGGGAGGTGAAGAAGCTATGATATGAGGGCAGTAGATGGTTCATTCTTATGAATATTGAGGATACAGGATGAAGCTGGGGCTTATGGTAGACCAAATGCTGAAGTTGTGGCTGAATGAGATAGAGCAAATAGGTAGGAGCTCATTAGATGAGAGAAATTAGTGTGACCTCACAAATAGCATGAACTTCAAAAGAGCTGGCTTTTTAAAAGGAATAATATCAACCTGTAAGAACAAATGTTAGAACCCCATCTTTTGGCCAGTTTATTTTTAAAGAAAACCTTAATTTCAGAGGGCTGAAAGGAAAATAATATCAGCAGAAGAAAACCAGCTTCAAGGGGGTGGTGGGAAAGCTTGGAGGAGAGATTACTGATAAAGCACATTTGCTGGCTGTGGAGCTGAGTGGATCCAGAGGGCATAGTGGAAAGGTTCGGGAAGTAGAAAAACATGGAGAGCTCTGTGGGAGGCACAGAACAGCAGGGGTGGCTGTATACTCTGAAAACTGAATGAGTGACATGGTGTATTTGGCCTCAGCTGGCCGTCTGAGGAAAGTGAAAAAGAGCCTGATGGCCAGAGGACTTACCCAGTTTACCCAGAATGATAATGTTCCCCAAAGTCATAGACCCAAAATACTGCCCAGCCTAGATGAAAGGGAGTGTTCCACTGAACATTATGAACATGTACTGCTTTTTACCACGTTTTTCCTCATATGTGTTGTTAGATATATTTTTGCCCAGGATGATGTTAACCTTCAAAAGTATTAGTAGTATTCTTTTTTGTTTTGTTTTTCATGGTAATGAGTGTTTGTATTTGGATCTCTACTTTTGTCATGCCTGGAAGACATTCCCAAGAGGTACCCCAATATTATTGAATGGTCATTAGTTTTTTTCTAGCACTTACCTGATTTCGTCTTTAATATTTACACCTTTAGTCCTTTTGGAATGTATATACATATTGTCTTTTTTTTTCTTTTTGAGACAGAGTTTTGTTCATGTCGCCTAGGCTGGAGTGCAATGGCATGATCTTGGCTCACTGCAACCTCCACCTCCTGCGTTCAAGCGATTCTCCTGTCTCAGCCTCCCAAGTAGCTGGGATTACAGGCGTGAGTCCCCACGCCTGGCTAATTTTTGTATTTTTAGTAGATACAGGGTTTCTCCATATTGGTCAGGCTAGTCTCGAACTCTCAACCTCAAATGATCAGCCCACCTTGGCCTCCCAAAGTGCTGGGATTATAGGTGTGAGTCACCACACCAACCATATGTATTGTCTTTTATACCAAAGTATCTTAGATATTTTTCCTAAGTGGCTGGACTATTCTGTTTTAAATACTTTTTTTTTTTTTTTTTGGTATTGTATATTTTCTTGCTTGTTTTATTGATTTGGAAATTTTATTAAAGACAGGCTGTGTAAAATCTATACCTTATTTAATGTTCAGCTAATTTTTCTGTTTTAAAAAACCATATTTAAAGACTAGGCTCAGTGGCTCACATGTGTAATCCCAGCACTTTGGAAAACTGAGGCAGGCAGACCCATTGAGGTCAGGAGTTTGAGACCAGCCTGTCCAACATGGCGAAAGCCCATCTACTAAAAATATAAAAATTTGCTGGGCATGGTGGTGTGTGCCTGTAGTCCCAGCTACATGGGAGGCTGATGAAGGAGAATCACTTGAACCTGGGAGACGGAGATTGTGGTGAGCCTGTGCCACTGCACTCCAGCCTGGGTGACAAGAGTGAGACTGTCTCAATTTAAAAATATATATATATTAAAATATATTTAAAAGCAGTAGTAGCTATGAAAATTACAAATAGATATACCCTTTGGCTTAATAATGCCACCTCTAATAATTTATCTAAAAATATGCATGCATATATATGAAACCTATATCTGTTCAAAAAAAAATTTTTTTTTTTTTTTTTTTTTGAGACAGAGTCTTGCTCTGTCCACCCAGGCTTGAGTGCAGAGGCACAGTCTCAGCCCATTGCAGCTTTGGCCTCCTGGGTTCAAGCGATTCTCCTGCCTCAGCCTCCCAAGTGGCTGGGATTACAGGCACACACCACCACACCCAGCTAATTTTTGTATTTTTAGTAGAGATGGTTTTAACATGTTGGCCAGGATGGTCTTGATCTCCTGTGCTCGTGATCCAACTGCCTTGGCCTCCTCAGTGCCCAGCCATGGTAAAATTTTTTTAAAGTGAGGAAATAACTTTATATACTGATATGGAATCTTCGTTTTATTTAATGAGAAAAGTCCTTGTTAGTATAGTGGTAAATAGAGAAAAGAAAAGAAAAAAGCTAGGCATTGTAGTAGTACATATAGGATATTTAGTACTAACTTGTATCTGTATATCCCTGAAGTACCTTATTAAAGAGCATTGGTCAGCTAAAGGACAGAAGTGGATATGATATTATACTTTGTGAATTTTGAGCCATCAATCAAGAATACTTTTATTTTTTTGAGACAGGGTCTCATTCTATCTCCCAGGCTTGAGTGTAGTGGCATGATCTTGGTTCACTGCAACCTCTGCCTCCCAGGTTCAAGCCATCTTCCAACCTCAGCCTTCCTAGTAGCTGGGACTAGAGGCACGTGCCACCATATCTGGCTCATTTTTTTGTTTTTAGTAGAATGTTGCCCAGGCTGATCTCAAACTGGTGGGCTCAAGAAATCCACCCACCTCAGCCTCCCAAAGTGCTGAAACTTTGACCAGGAGTGAGATACCGTGCCCAGTCAAAAATAAATAAAATTTTAAAAGATAAAAGGAAAACACTTACTGAAATTTTATTTTTATAACTATTTTTTTCCTAAATTGAGCTAAATAACAATAAGAGGTTAAAAACATGATTCTTTTTTCTCTTTATCTCTCTTATGACCATAGGGAATGTGCAACAATCAGTTAACCGCAAACAGAGCTGGAAAGGTTCTAAAGAATCCTTAGTTCCTCAGAGACATGGCCCACCACTAGGAGAAAGTGTGGCCTATCATTCTGAGAGTCCCAGCTCACAGGCAGATGTAGGAAGACCTTTGTCTGGATCTGGTATAACAGCATTTGCTCAAGCTCACCCTAGCAATGGACAGAGAGTGAACCCCCTACCACCACCTCAAGTAAGGAGTGTCACTCCTCCACCACCTCCAAGAGGCCAGACTCCCCCTCCAAGAGGTACAACTCCACCTCCTCCTTCATGGGAACCAAACTCTCAAACAAAGCGCTATTCTGGGAACATGGAATACGTAATCTCCCGAATCTCTCCTGTCCCACCTGGGACATGGCAAGAGGGCTATCCACCACCACCTCTCAACACTTCCCCCATGAATCCTCCTAATCAGGGACAGAGAGGCATTAGTTCTGTTCCTGTTGGCAGACAACCAATCATCATGCAGAGTTCTAGCAAATTTAACTTTCCATCAGGGAGACCTGGAATGCAGAATGGTACTGGACAGACTGATTTCATGATACACCAAAATGTCCCTGCTGGCACTGTGAATCGGCAGCCGCCACCTCCATATCCTCTGACCGCAGCTAATGGACAAAGCCCTTCTGCTTTACAGACAGGGGGATCTGCTGCTCCTTCATCATATATAAATGGAAATATTCCTCAGTCTATGATGGTGCCAAACAGAAATAGTCATAACATGGAACTGTATAACATTAATGTGCCGGGACTGCAAACAAATTGGCCTCAGTCATCCTCTGCTCCAGCCCAGTCGTCCCCAAGCAGTGGGCATGAAATCCCTACCTGGCAACCTAACATACCAGTGAGGTCAAATTCTTTTAACAACCCATTGGGAAATAGAGCAAGTCACTCTGCTAATTCTCAGCCTTCTGCTACAACAGTCACTGCAATTACACCAGCTCCTATTCAACAGCCTGTGAAAAGCATGCGTGTATTAAAACCAGAGCTACAGACTGCTTTAGCACCTACACACCCTTCTTGGATACCACAGCCAATTCAAACTGTTCAACCCAGTCCTTTTTCTGAGGGAACCACGTCAAATGTGACTGTGATGCCACCTGTTGCTGAAGCTCCAAATTATCAAGGACCACCACCACCCTACCCAAAACATCTGCTGCACCAAAACCCATCTGTTCCTCCATATGAATCAATCAGTAAGCCTAGCAAAGAGGATCAGCCAAGCTTGCCCAAGGAGGATGAGAGTGAAAAGAGTTATGAAAATGTTGATAGTGGGGATAAAGAAAAGAAACAAATTACAACTTCACCCATCACTGTTAGGAAAAACAAGAAAGATGAAGAGCGAAGGGAATCTCGTATTCAAAGTTACTCTCCTCAAGCATTTAAATTCTTTATGGAGCAACATGTGGAAAATGTACTGAAATCTCATCAGCAGCGTCTACATCGTAAAAAACAATTAGAGAATGAAATGATGCGGGTAAAACCTTTTAAAATGTCCATTTTTATACTTAATCATCTGTTTACTTGGTGTTTATTTTAAAATATTGTGCTCCAGTATTTTTCATTCTTTTTATAGCTTAATACAATATATTATCAGTTACAGAATTTAAAAAGTAAATAAATATTAAAGTGCATTTGATTGTAACCATTTTATTTTAGTATTTCAAGATTTACTCAGAATTTCCCATAATAAAATCTTGTATAAATTAAGAAAAATATAATTTGCGATATACAGTTTAGGTGTACATAATACTTTATATGGAAATTGAAGCAAGGGTTGTTTTCTAGGTTTTATACTTTATCTTACAACATTTAAAGATAAACTAATAATATGTAGGTCTCATCTCCTGATACACTTATGAAACATTTCTTTTTACTTGTAGAAAATTTGAAGTTTATAGGTTTATTGATCACATAGATCTTACTAGAAAGTGTCAAAGAAGTTCTCTTCAGTTATTTCTCCCTTCTGATTTCATTTTTATAATATACTGGAGAAAAATGTGTTGAAATTAAGTCAAACTATACTAAAGGGAGATCAGAGTAAATAAACCTATGTAAATTATGTTGTCATTACACCTAGATCTCTTCACTAGATATTAAGATGGTATTGTCATCATTATTGTTTTTATCAGATGCTTAGATTTCAAAGATTTGACTCCTAATCTTACATCTGTTACTCACAATTCAAGAGGCTTAACCTTGTGATTAAACATCTTTATGACTTGAGAGAACCATTCTTTTTAAAATTATTTTCCCACCAGGCAAGGTGGCTCAGGCCTGTAATCCCAGCACTTTGGGAGGCTGAGGTAGGCGGGTCACCTGAGGTCAGGAATTCAAGACCAGCCTGACCAACATAGTGAAACCCTCATCTCTACTAAAAATACAAAATTAGCCATGCATGGTGGCACATGCCTGTAATCACAGCTACTTGGGAGGCTGAGGCAGGAGAATTACTTGAACCTGGGGGGCAGAGGTTGCAGTGAGCCCAGATTGCACCATTGCACTCCAGCCTGGGCAACAACAGCAAAACTCCATCTCAAAATAATTTAAAAACAAAAAATAAAATGATTTTTCCAAATCTGATTTACAGTATTTTTATTCCATTTTACATTTTATTAAATGATAAATTCCATAATAGTCTCTATGACTTATCTATATTTTAGTTCTTAGCATTTCTTACTAAAGTCTGTTTGTATGTATTTTCTTAGTTTATTTTTCCTTTTTCCTCTTCACTTTCACTAATAGCTGATTTAAACTTTTATGGTGTTGGAAGCTTTGCTGACTTCTGTAGTCTCCATTACTGTGTAGGCAAGTAAGATTTTGAGAGAAACAGTTCTGAACTAAGTCTGGCACGTCACCCTTCTTAAAAGATTTTGCCTGCAAAAATGTGAATCCTAACAGAAGCATGTGGTTGCTCTATTTTAGTCTTGCATTTCTAGAATTAGACCTCACTTTTCTAATTGAATTCCTTTTCTATTTAAACCCTTTAATTAGTTCTTTATTAATTAGCCTAAATATTTCTCCCTTCTAAATCCAGGTATTCCATATCTATAATACTTAGAAGTTAGTTTTTGTTTTTAATCTATTTTTTGATATCTTCATGAGTCACACTGACTATTCTTTGAAATATTCCTAAATACCCAAAGGATATCTTGTAAACAAACAAGTAGGAGAAACCCTTTGCAATTTGTGTTAGTGGTGAGCCATGAGTCACACCTTTACTCTAATGCCCTGAAAAAGAGAAAAGGAAAGATTATTCATGACTATTATATATTTATTGAGAATGGGCAAGGATTGGTGGGTTAGAAAAGGCATTGTTTTGTTGTTCTTGGTACATTAATTTTTTAGAATAAATTAGCCTGGAGTGGGAGAATTTTTTTTTTCATGAAAGATAAAATGGGAGGAAGGATATTTGAGGCCTAGGCATTACACTAAAATAAGTATATAACAGAGATAAATGAAGATGCATGTTAACAGATACTTGTTTCACATTGAGAACCTTTTTTTTTTTTTTTTTTCCGGAGTGCATTAGTGAAGAGTAGAAAGCTGATTCTTCTGGTATCCTCTTCTTGCCCTCCACAGCTGAATTTGCATATGTACTCACTTTGAATATCCTTTTAACTACCTTTTAAGCTGCACTTTTGATCATTAATTTCCTTTGAAATGTTTTCTAGATTTCTAACATGCTTTATTAAAAATTATGATGCATTTAACCTTTAATATATGCCTGAATTTTTTCAAAGCTATTTCATAATATTTAATATTGAAGAAGATAATTCTTATTTAACATCTAGTTTATTTGCCTAGGTTGGATTATCTCAGGATGCCCAGGATCAAATGAGAAAGATGCTTTGCCAAAAAGAATCTAATTACATTCGTCTTAAAAGGGCTAAAATGGACAAGTCTATGTTTGTGAAGATAAAGACACTAGGAGTAGGAGCATTTGGTGAAGTCTGTCTAGCAAGAAAAGTAGATACTAAGGCTTTGTATGCAACAAAAACTCTTCGAAAGAAAGATGTTCTGCTTCGAAATCAAGTCGCTCATGTTAAAGCTGAGAGAGATATCCTGGCTGAAGCTGACAATGAATGGGTGGTTCGCCTATATTATTCATTCCAAGATAAAGACAATTTATATTTTGTAATGGACTACATTCCTGGGGGTGATATGATGAGCCTATTAATTAGAATGGGCATCTTTCCAGAAAACCTGGCACGATTCTACATAGCAGAACTTACCTGTGCAGTTGAAAGTGTTCATAAAATGGGTTTTATTCATAGAGATATTAAACCCGATAATATTTTGATTGATCGTGATGGTCATATTAAATTGACTGACTTTGGCCTCTGCACTGGCTTCAGATGGACACACGATTCTAAGTACTATCAGAGTGGTAAGTAAACTCAAAATGTAGATTGTTCATAATGTAATTTATTGATATAGTAAAATGTAGGATGATGATATTGGATGAGAGCCAGAAGACGGGTCAGGTCTTGATTCTGTTGGATAAACTTGGGTGAATCCTTTAGGTGCTTAGACTTATAAAATAAAAGAATGTACTCGATTTGACTGTTACTAAATATTATTAACATTTTTTAGTCACTCCTTTTACATTTTATTTGTCAATATGTCAGACAAATAACTTTTTCTTTTTTTTGATGGAGTCTCGCTCTTTCGCCCAGGCTGGAGTGCAGTGGTGCAATCTCAGCTGACTGCAACCTCCACCTCCCGGATTCAAGTGATTCTCATGCCTCAGGAATAGCTGGGATTATAGGCACCTGCCACCATGCCCAGCTAATTTTTGTATTTTTAGTAGAGACAGGGTTTTGCCATGTTGGCCAGGCTAATCTCAAACTCTTGACCTCAGGTGATCCACCCACCTCAGCCTCCCAAAGCGCTGAGATTACAGATGTGAGCGCCTGCACCTGGCCAAATATCATTTTAATAATTTTTTAATGAATCCTCATATCCACTATTCAGTTAAAGAACTAGATTATTAGTACTTTAGATGCCCCTAAATAATCACTTCCCCTTTTCTCCTCCACAGAGATAACTGTTGTTTCAGAACTTTGTCATTAGCTCTCTAATCTATACTTTTATCACAATTGTATATATTCCTAAATAATACTTCGTTTTGCCTACTCTTTAGCCTTTATTTAAATATAATCTATATATTCTTTGTGTTGACTTGTTTGAGGTTCCTCCATGTTATTCATGTAACATTTATTTTAACTGCTATTTAGGATTCCATTATATGACTATTACACAACTTATATAACCCTAAACACTTTATGATCTTTGATCCTACTTTATCCTCCCAGTGTCACTGTGAGGCAGGATGAAGAAACTGAGCCCTAATTAGATGAAGTAACTTGCCCAAGGTCAGACAAATCAAGGGTAAGGGCTAGGCTTTGAACCCAGGTTTGTCTGATTTCAGGGCCCATGTTATTTCTACTACACCACACTGCCTCACCAAGATCCCTCCAAGCGCTAATGAAAGTGTAAGTCAATCTAACGTTTGTTAAATACTATGTACTTGGTGTTTTATAGTATATTCTAATATGCTCACAACAATCCTCTGAGGTATTATTAGCTTCCTGTGTTGCTATGAACACAAGTGGATTGACATTAAAATGAGTAGAACTAAGACAATTGAAGCTACCTGAATGTTCAACATAATGGAATTTAGTGTCTCCCCAGATTCAACTGAATTATTACTTGGAAAGCTTCTTAAAAATATGATACCTAGGCTCTATTCTTGTCTTTCGATCAAAAATTTTCGGGGCATGGAAATCATATTTTAATCAAACTTCCCAGATAATTATTAGAGATAGGTTTATTTCTTATACATAACTCTAGATAACTTCATGCCATCTATATGTCAATACTTCCAAATCTGTCTCCAGAAATGGCCTTTCTCTGAAATTCAGAATTACTGTCCAACTACTTCTTGGCTATCTTCACATGGATTTCAGATAGGCCATTCAAACTTCACATGGCCCATAAATAACTTTTTTTTTAAGTATAAATCAGATCGTGTTATCTTCTTGCTTCAAACTCTTCAGTATCTTTTCACTTTACTTGGAGTAAAAGGCAGACCATTTTTATTGCCTGCAAAACGCACGTGTATTTGTTCTTGCCCCATTTTCTGTGGTTCTTGCCCATTTCCTATAGTTCTCCCCTTTATCAGCTGCACTGGTGTTCTCTCTGTTGCTGTTATTTCTGTGTGGAATACCTACTCCTGATTTTCAAATGGTTGAGTCCTTCTTGTTTTTTATGGCTTAGCAGATATCACCTTCTCAGTTGGTCTTTTCTAACCATTCAGTCTTATGTAGCTATCCAGTCATATTTGTTGCATCACTCTGTGTTGATTCTCTGTGTAGGGTATGTCACTGTTTCTTATGTGTGTAGTAGTTTCTTTTGTTTCTTTTCGCACTAGAATTAACCTGCCTGAGAAAAGACCTTTATCTTACCACTGTCATTTATTGAATGAAACACTGATCTAATTTTTTTGAAAGTTTGTCCAGAGTAGTAACAGAGAGTGGCCTTAATCTCCCCATGACTCATATTGTTGTCATTTAACATTGAATAAATTACTAAATCTTAGGCTGTGTGTGTGTGTAAAACCCTTCCAATTGATATCTCAGTGATTTGGCATATGCTGCATCTTAATTTGTCACAAGGGAGAATGCTAACCCTAAACCATTATGTCAAAGGATTAAACAGACTTCAGGTTTACTCTTGTCCTTGTTGCTTTTCTTTATTTACTCTTTTATTGTACAGGTGACCATCCAAGGCAAGATAGCATGGATTTCAGTAATGAGTGGGGGGATCCCTCAAGCTGTCGATGTGGAGACAGACTGAAGCCGTTAGAGCGGAGAGCTGCACGCCAGCACCAGCGATGTCTAGCACATTCTTTGGTTGGGACTCCCAATTATATTGCACCTGAAGTGTTGCTACGAACAGGTAAAGCACTTGATTTCATATGTAATCTCAGTAGGTCTTTAGACCAGCTAAGACATAACACTAGAATATGCCTTATTTTTCAGGTTTATAATAAAAATATTAATTTTACAGTATAAATTGGTGATTTAATGATAATTTCTATTGTATTCTGAGCATTTATAAAGTGCTTATAAATAACTAACTTTGATATCTTATTTTAGGATACACACAGTTATGTGATTGGTGGAGTGTTGGTGTTATTCTTTTTGAAATGTTGGTGGGACAACCTCCTTTCTTGGCACAAACACCATTAGAAACACAAATGAAGGTAAGGTATGGCATCTATTTCAAAAGAATTGTCACAAAGTTCCTATATCATTGACCTTTATTTATTAGTACTTACAGTATTTTAATCTGGAGTTAAAGAATGAACTTGGGCTGGGTGCAGTGGCTCACATCTATAATGCCAGTGCTTTGGGAGGCTGAGGCAGGAGGATTCCTTGAGCCCAGGAGTTCAAGATCAGCCTGGGCAACAATGTGAGACCCCACCTCTCAAAAAAAAGTTTTTATTAAAAAAAAAGAAAAAGAATGAACTTGTAAGGGTATATGAACTCACCAAAATTGCATGTGAACTCCTGTCTCCATCATGCCATATCACCATAATCTTGTATTCCCCCTCACTCATACACCATACTCATTTCATTCTCAAAAAGGTCCATTTTGAAGCTCCTCTGAAATAAAAAACTTTGATGTAAATCTGACAACACGAGCAAGATCTGTATGCAAATTGCTACTGAAAGAAATCATAGGCTGGGTGCTGTGGCTCACGCCTGTAATTCCAGCACTTTGGGAAGCCAAGGCAGGCAGATCACCTGAGGTCAGGAGTTTGAGACCAGCCTGGCCAACATGGTGAAACCCTATCTCTACTAAAAATATAAAAATTAGCCAAGGCATGGTGGCGGGCACCTATAAACCCCAGCTACTCAGGAGCTACGAGGATAATACTTGAACCTGGGAGGTAAAGGTTGCAGTGAGCCAAGATTGCATCACTGCACTCCAGCCTAGGTGACAGAGTGAGACACCGTCTCAAAAAAAGAAAAAGAAAAAGAAATCGTAGATCTTGTGCAGATACAGTGGCTCACACCTGTAACACCAGCACTTTGGGAGGCCAGGTGGGCAGATTACTTGAAGTCAGGAGTTCAAGACCAGCCTGGCCAACATGGCAACACCGTCTCTACAAAAATACAAAAAAAATTAGTTTGTAATCCCAGCTACTTGGGAGACTGAGACAGGAAAATTGCTTGAACCCGGGAGGAGGAGGTTGCAGTAAGCCCATGTAGTGCCATTGCACTCCAGCTGTGGTGACAGAGTGAGACTCTGTCTCAAAAAAAAAAGAGAGAGAGAGATTGAGTGAGAGGGAGGGAGGGATGAGGGATGGAGAGAGAGAGGAGGGATGGAGAGTAGGGAGAGAGGGAGGGGGAGACAGAAAAGAAAAGAGAGCAATCATAGATCTAAATAAGTAGAGACACATACCATGTTCATTGATTGGAAGAGTTAACATAGTAAAGGTGTAACTTTTCATGTAATTAATTATAGGTTTAACTCACCTCCAGTCAAAATCTCAGCAGGATTTTTTGTAGATATAGATGAATCAATTTTAAAATGTACATGGATGGACAAAAAGTAGAAAAGGCCAGGCTCAGTGGCTTATGCCTATATTCCCAACACTTTGGGAGGCCGAGGCGGGTGGAACACTGGGCTCAGGAGTCTCTACTAAAATACAAAAAATTAGCCAGGTACAGGGGCATGTACCTGTAGTCCCAGCTATTCGGGAGGCTGAGGCAGGAGAATTGCTTGAACCCGGGAGACAGAGGTTGCAGTGCGCCAAGATCAATCCACTGCACTCCAGCCTGGGCAACAGGGTGAGATTTTATCTAAAAAAAAAAAGGAAAGAATAGCAAAATCAATTTTTTAACAAGAACAAAATTGGAGCATTCAGCGATCTGATTTTTAAATGTACTGTGAAGCTTCAATAATGTAGACAGTGTGAGAGTGGCAAAAAGGTACACACATAAATCAGTGGAACAGAATATAGAATGCCGACATAAGACCACACTACTATGGCCATTTGATCTTTGACAAAGGTGCAAATGGAAAAAGGATCGTTTTCTAACAAATGGTATTGAAAAAAACTGGTCAGCCATATACAAGAAAACTGAACCTCAGGCCAGGTAAGATGGCTCATGCCTGTAATCCTAGCACTTTGGGAGGCCAAGGTGGGTGAGGTTAGGGGTTCAAGAACAGCCTGGCCAACATGGCGAAACCCCATCTCTACTAAAAATAGAAAAATTAGCCGAGTGTGGAGGTGCATGCCTGTAATCCCAGCTACTCAGGAGGCGAGGCAGGATAATCACTTCAACCCAGGAGGCAGAGCTTGCAATGAGCTGAGATCGTGCCACTGCACTCCAGCCTGGAACAACAGAGCGAGACTCTGTCGCAAAACAAAAACAAAAACTGAACCTCAAGTGACCTGACACCTTTACAAAGAGTAACTTAAATTGAGTCACATATGTATAGATAAAATTTAAAGCTATAGTACTTGTAGAAGAAAACAGGAGAAAACCTTCATGGGCTGGGGTTAGGTAAAGAGTTCCTAGAAATGACCCCAGAATCATGATCTGTAAAAGAAAAAATTAATCAACACTAAGAACTTTACCACACATAAAGTCAAGAGAAAAGACAAGCTACAGTCTGGGAGAAAATATTTACAAATCACATATCTAAGAAAGGTTTTTTTATCTACAGTATATGAAGAACCCTCAGAACTCAACAATAAGGAAACAAATAACCCAAGCCAGTGACCTGACATATTTCTTTATATGTCTGGGTCAAAAAAAGAGATGGATCTCTGTCTCTTTAAATCTGCCAGAGCAGGTCAAAGAAAAGCAAGCATCTGTGCAGATCCCTCAGGGAATCACCAACACCAGCCAAAATGGACAACCTCAGATTTTTGGAGGGCAAAGTTCTTACTGCCCACCTTGATACTAACCAGCTGTTCCAGGAAGACAAGCTGTGGTCTTCATGACCGCCGCAGGACTGAGGAGTGGTAGATGGTAGTGGGCTCACACACGCTGCTGTCTGAACCAAATTTTAGCAGCCTCTCTCTTCATGAGGCACTCTCCTGGCTGCTGTAAGTATCTGATCAGGTTCGAAAGTTCTACAATAAATTATTCTGATAGTCTTTTTCCAGTTTAATGGTTGTTTTTAAGGAACGGTAGATCCTCGATACTTGCGACTCTGTTTTCTGTGATGTCTCTTTCTACGGTGGTTTTTACTATTATCTCTTTGTTTATTTGTTTGTGGTTGTTCTAGTGACTACGAAATACATATTAAGGTGTTTTTTGTTTTTTTTTTTTTGAGATGGCGTCTCACTCTATTGCCCAGGCTAGAGTGTAGTGGCGCAACCTTGGCTCACTGCAACCTCCACCTCCTGACTTCAAGCAATTCTCTTGCCTCAGCCTCTCAAGTAGCTGTGATTACAGGTACCCTCCACTACGCCTGGCTAATTTTTGTATTTTTAGTAGAGACAGGGAGGGTTTCACTATGTTGGCCAGGCTGGTCTTGAACTCCTGACGACCTCTCCACCTGCTTTGGCCTCCCAAAGTGCTGGGATTACAGGAGTGAGCCACTGTGCCTGGCATAAGTTTTTACTATCTGCCTAGAATTTATATTTTACGACTTCAAGTTCAATGTAGAACCTTAGTGCCATATAGGTCTCCTTTATTCTCTACTCTTTATGTTGTAGTTATTTTCTTTTTTTTTTTGAGACAAGGTCTTGCTCTGCTGCAAGTGCAGAGGTGTGATCTCAGCTTACTGCAACCTCTGCCTCCCAGGTTCAAGATTCTCCTGTGTTATCCTACCAAGTAGCTGGAATTACTGGTGCAGGCCACCATGCTTGACTAATTTTATTTTCATTTTTCAACAATATTAGTCACTGTGTTGCCCAGGCTGGTCTTGAACTTCTGGGCTCAAGCAGTTTTCCCACCTTGGCTTCCCAAAGTGTTGGGATTACAAGCGTGAGCCTGCACCCAGCTTGTAGTTATTTTATACATTACATCTACATATGCTTAAAACCTCATCTAGCCAGGTGCAGTAGCTTACACCTGTAATCCCAGCACTTTGGAAGGCCACAGCAGGAGGATCACTAGAACCTAGGAGTTTGAGGTCAGCCTGGGCAACATAGTGAAATCCTGTCTCTACAAAAAAAATTTTTTTAATTAGCTTAGCATGCTGGTGTGTGGTTGTACATACTTACAGTTCCAGCTACTTGGGGCGGGGGGACCACTTAGATGGGAGGATCTCTTCTGAGCCCAGGAGGTTGAGGCTGCAGTAAGATCTAAGAGTGCACCACTGCACACCAGCCTGGGCAACAAAGTGTGACCTTGTCTCAAAACCTACCTCATCCAACAATGTAACAGTTTTGCTTTCAAACATCAAGTTCTTTTAAAGAACTCAAGGTGAGAGCCTGGGTGCTGTGGCTCATGCCTGCAATCCCAGCATTTTGGGAAGCCAATGCAAGAGGATTGATTGAAGCCAGGAGTTCCAGACCAGCATGAATAACAAATCACAGACCATGTCTCTACCAAAAACAAAAAAATAGCTGGGCATGGTGGATGGTGGCACATGCCTGTGGTCCCAGCTACTCCAGACATAGGAGGATCACTTGAGCCCAGGAGTTCCAGGCTGCAATGAGCTATAATCACCCCACTATACTGCAGCCTGAGCAACAAAATGAGACCCTGTCTGAAAAAAAAAAAAAAAAGTCAAAATGAGAAGAATAGTCAATTACATTTACCTGGATATTTAGCATTTTCCTTGTTCTTCCTGCATTCCTGGTGTTTCAAGATTCCTTCTATATCATGTCTCTTCCATCTGAAAAACTTCCTTAAGCAAATACTTTAGAGCAAGTATGTTGACAACAGATTGTCTTAATTTCTCTTCATATGAGAATGTCTACATTTTGCCTGTCTTAGAATATTATCACTTAAGAGCAAATGCAGTGGCTCACGCCTGTAATCCCAGTACTTTGGGAGGCCAAGGTGGGCAAATCACCTGAGGTCAGGAATTTGAGACCAGCCTGGCGAACATGGGGAAACCTTGTCTCTACTAAAATACAAAAATTAGCTGGGCTGGTGGCGTGTGCCTGTAATCTAAGCTACTTGGGAGGCTGAGGCAGAAGAATTGCTTGAACCCAGGAGGCAGAGATTGCAGGGAACCAAGATTGCACCACAAAACTCCAGCCTGGGTGACAGAGTGAGACTCCATCTCCATAAAAAAAAAAAAAAAAAAAAAGAGTACTATCACTTGATACATAATTCTGGGTTTTAGTTCTTACAGCACTTTAAAATGTTCACTCCCTTCTATCATTCATAATTTGATGTGACATCTGCAATTATTTAGATCCCTCAAGTAATGCATTATGTTTCTCTAGCTGCTTTCAATAATTATTTTTTTCAGTATTGTAATTATGATACGTCTGGGCATGAATTTCTCAGTGTTTATTCTGTTTGGTATTCATCAATCATTTTAAATCTGTAGGTTTATGTCTTTGATCAGATTTGGGGTATGTTCAACCATCATATCTTTAAGTATTTTTCTGTACCACATATTTTCTTCTCTTGTGATGTTAATCACAGGAATGTTAGACCTTTTGGTGTAGTCCCACAGATTTCTGTAATTTTTTGTTTTTTTCTGCTGTTTAGAATGAACAGTTGATTGAATTGTATCATTAGTATCAACCTATCTTTTTAGAGTCTTGTTCTGTTGCCCAGGCTGGAGTGCAGTGGCATGATCTCAGCTCATCGCAACCTCCAGCTCCAGCTCTGGGTTCAAGCGATCCTTCCACCTCAGCCTCCCGAGTTGATTCACTGGGACTGTAGGCTCGCCACCACACTCAGCTAACTTTTTGTATTTTTAGTGGAGACAGGGTTCTCAACATGTTTTCCAGGCTGGTCTCAAACTCCGGGCCTCAAGTAATCCACCCGCCTCCGCCTCCCAAGGTGCTGGGATTACAGGAGTGAGCCACCATGCCTGGCCAGTAGCAACCTATCTTCAAGTTCACTGATTTTTTTTCCTCTGACATCTTCATTCTGCTATTGAGCCTATCCACTGACTTTTTAATTTTGGTTATTTTTCAATTATAAAATTTCTTTTTGATACTTTATACCTTCAGTTTCTTTGCTGAGACCTAGCTTTCATTTCATGAGTGTTTATCCTTATTTGAAGCATATTTATAATGGCTACTTTCAAATTTTTGTCAGAAAATTCTGCATCTATGTCATATCAATACTGACTGACTTTTCCTATGTTAGTTGAAATTTTCTGTTTTTTTTTTTTTTTTTGGTATACCAAGTAATTTTGGATTGTATCCTGGACATTTTGAATATTATGTTATAAGACTCTGGTCTTTTTTTTTTTTTTTTTTTTTTGAGACAGTCTCACTCTGTTGCCCAGGCTGGAGTGTAGTGGCACGATCTCAGCTCACTACAGCCTCTGCCTTCCAGGTTCAAGCAATTGTCCTGCCTCAGCCTCCAAAGTACCTGGGACTAGAGGCACGTGCTACCATGCCCGGCTAATTTTTGTGTTTTTAGTAGAGACAAGGTTTTACTATATTGACCAGGCTGGTCTCAAACTCCTGACCTCGGGTGATCCGCCTACCTTAGTCTCCTAAAGTGCTGAGATTACAGGTGTGAGCCACTGCACCTGGCCAAGACTCTGGATCTTATGGAGAATTTTGACATTGTTTTGACAGGCATTAAAACTGGTTGGGTTCAGGCCACAAGTTCCAACCTGGCTTTTTTTTTTAAATTTCAATGTCAGTTTCAAAGCCTTTTCCTTTCTAGGCAGATTTCTCCATAGGCTATGGTCTTTTCCTTAGTTCAGTTCTCAAAGTCTTTGTTTTGCTCCTTAGGATTAGATCTACATAGGTACAGTTTGGAGGGGCAGCCCAGCAGTTCATAAGCAACTTAATGGGGTCACTTGCCCAATCTCCTCCCTCTCTGTGATGTCCCCTGTACTTTCCCATCCCTGGGGCTCCCCGTTTTAGTTCTCTGACCTAAAGTGAGACTTTACTTACCCAACTCTGCCAATATCTCATGATTGCACCTGCATCCAGAACAAGGTAGCAAAAGGACACAGAGAGAAAACGAGCAACAGAGGTTCAACCCATCTTCTTGGGATCCCATGCTTTATTATCTTACTTATTTATGAGACAGAGTCTCACTCTGTCCCCAGGCTGGATTGCAAAGCCATGATCCTGGCTCACTGCAACCTCTGCCTCCTTTGTTCAAATGATTCTCCTGAATCAGCCTCCCGAGTAGCGGGGATAACAGGTATGCACTACCACACCCCACTAATTTTTGCATTTTTAGTAGAGACGAGGCTTCACCATATTGGCCAGGCTAGTCTCGAACTCCTGACCTCAAGTGATCCACAGGCCTCTGCCTCCAAAAGTGCTGGGATTACAGGCGAGAGCCACCAGGCACAGCCCCATGCTTTGTTATTTTATTTCCAATTGGAAGGGAATGTTCTCTAAGAATTTTAGGTGCATACTGGCTCTTATTGTCACTTCCGTTGCTACCAGGAAACTCCTTTTCTACTCCCTGAGCCTCTAGAAGGACTTCTAGAGCTCTCTGTCTGCACTCAGCTCCTTCCAAGTTTTAGGCGACCTTGAGTCCAGCCTGCAGCCTCCTAGAGAGAAAAAAAATGGAGCTGGATATGCTGGCACAGGCCTATAGTCCCAGTTACTAGAGAGGCTGAGGTAGGAGGATTTCTTGAGGCTAGGAGACTCGCCTGGACAATATAGTGAGAATCCTGTCTCTTATAAACTAATTTTTTTTTAATGGTAAACTTATCACTAGGTTTAGTGGTACTTCAAATTTATATCTTCTCCCCAAATCTACCTGTTAATATTTACTTTTCAGGGACCTGAAGTAGCTGCTTCATGCATCCTGACCAGGTTTTCTAGCTGCCTTCTCAGGGAGAGAGATAGGGGAGAGTATATATAGTATATCTTCCTTAAAACTGGGACCTCTCTGGTTGCTTTTAGGACTTTTTTCTCTTTAACTTTGGCTTTCTGCAATTTGACCATGGTGTGCCTATGTGTAGTTTCCTTGTGTTTTTCTTGGTTGAGATTCACTCAGTTTCTTGACTTATACATTAATGACTCTCATCAGTGTTGGGAAAATCTGTCATTATCTCTTCAACAATTTATTTTGCTTCCTTCTTGCCTTTTGGGACTCTTAAGGATTATACATATGGTATTCATTTGATATTGTCCTTCATTTCTCTTATGCTTTATTCTTTCTTTTATTCTACATGTTTTCTCTCTGTGCTTCAGTTTATATAATTTTATTCTTCCATCTTTGAATTATCTGAATCTTTTGCTGTGCCTAGTCTTTTTTTTTTTTTTTTTTTTTTGCTTAAACTAAAACATTCTGAATATACCTTAAAATAAAAAATATTAAACTTGGCCAGGGCCTGTAATCCTGGGGAGGCCGAGGTTCAAGACCAACCTGGGAAACATGGCGAAACCCCATCTCTACAAAAAATACAAAAGTTAGCCAGGCTGGTTAACAGTGAGCCACAGTGCCTGCCCAAGTTGAAGGTATCTTAACTTGGTTAAATGACAGCGCAGTCTACCACTTAATAGAGTTTGCCCCAAATCCATGTAATATAGTACTTGGAGTTAAATACCAATTCCTCTGCCTCCAAGAGTTCAGTGGGAGAGACTACATAGTCTGACTTCACTTGGCATTCCTTTCTTCCTCATTTTATTCATAACCAGAGCTCTTTTTTTTTTTTTTTTTGGAGAAATTGTCTCACTGTCACACAAGCTGGAGTGTAATGCTGCAATCATGGCTCACTGCAATCTCAAACTCCTGGGCTCCGGAATTCTCTTGCTTCAACCTACTGAGTAGTTAGGACTACAGGTGCATGCTACCATACCTGGCTAATTTTTAAAGTTTTTTATACAGAGGGGGTCTCGCTTTGTTGCCTAGGTTAGTTTTGAACCTTCCTGGCTTCAAGCAGTCCTCCCACTTTGGCCTCTCAAGGTGCTGGGATTATAGGCAAAAGCCACCACACTTGTCCTCAGAAAAAGTTTTATGAAACATTAAGTATGTGCCAGGCAATTTACTGAGCACTAGGAGATACAAAGATCACTAAAACATGATCCCTAGCCTTAATGGAATTTTACATTTCAGTAGAAGGACATAAACATAAATAGGTACCACAAGGTATTAGAAATACGATAGAAATAAATATATGGTACAGGGGAGGCAGAGTAGAAGTAGTCATTACCACCATAGGCAAAAAGGTTTACTAAGGGAGATTAAAACTGACAGTGAGTCTTATAATGTGAGTAGAAGTTGCCTGGGGAGGACAGGATAGGTGAAAAAATTATTTTCCAGCAAAATATCATATAATTTATTTAAAATACAAAAACAGCCCAGTGAGACTTTGGTATAAAACTTGAAGGAAATTTTTATTTTTCTAATTTATCTCTTTCCCCCTAATTTTTAAAAATCTTTGAAGGTTATCAACTGGCAAACATCTCTTCACATCCCACCACAAGCTAAACTCAGTCCTGAAGCTTCTGACCTTATTATTAAACTTTGCCGAGGACCTGAAGATCGCTTAGGCAAGAATGGTGCTGATGAAATAAAAGCTCATCCATTTTTTAAAACAATTGATTTCTCCAGTGACCTGAGACAGCAGTCTGCTTCATACATTCCTAAAATCACACACCCAACAGATACATCAAATTTTGATCCTGTTGATCCTGATAAGTTATGGAGTGATGATACCGAGGAAGAAAATGTAAATGACACTCTCAATGGATGGTATAAAAATGGAAAGCATCCTGAACATGCATTCTATGAATTTACCTTCCGGAGATTTTTTGATGACAATGGCTACCCATATAATTATCCGAAGCCTATTGAATATGAATACATTAATTCACAAGGCTCAGAGCAGCAGTCAGATGAAGATGATCAACACACAGGCTCAGAGATTAAAAATCGAGATCTAGTGTATGTTTAACACGCTAGTAAATAAATTAATGAAGATTTGCAAAAGGGCCTGAAATGTGAGGTGTTTTGAGGTTCTGAGAGTAAAATTATGCAAATATAACAGAGCTACATATGTATGTTCTGTGTACAATATTTTATTTTCCTAAATTATGGGAAATCCTTTAAAAATGTTAATTTATTCCAGCCTTTTAAATCAGTGTTTAGAAAAAAGTTGTTATAAGGAAAGTAAATTATGAACTGAATATTATAGTCAGTTCTTGGTACTTAAAGTACTTAAAATAAGTAGTGCTTTGTTTAAAAGGAGAAACCTGGTATCTATTTGTATATATGCTAAATAATTTTAAAAGACAAGAGTTTTTGAAATTTTTTTTGAAAGTTTTAGTTTTATCTTGCTTTAACCAAATATGAAACATACCACGTATTTACAGAGCTCTTTTTTCCCCTCATAACCTTGTTTTTGGTATAAAATAAGCTAGAGAAATTAAGCCATCGTGTTGGTGAGTGTACCTAGGCTAATGATAATCTGTATAATTCACATCCTGAAACTAAGGAATACAAGGTTGAAAAAATATTAATATGTTCATCAGAAGGAAAAATAGTACAGATATCTTTTCCCCCCTTCTGTGGAATATTTAATCTTCTTGCATTTATTTCTCAAGAATTACTGGCTCTAAAAGAAGCCAAAGCACTACTTAGCTCTCTTTCCATATTGAGTTTTTTTTGTTTTTTGTGGTTTTTTTTTTGGAGACAGAATCTCGCTCTCACCAGGCTGGAGTGCACTGGTGCGATCTTGGCTCACTGCAGCCTTCACCTTCCAGGTTCAAGCAATTCTGCCTCAGCCTCCCAAGTAGCTGCGACTACAGGCGCTAACCACCACGCCCAGCTAGTTTTTGTATTTTTAGTACAGACGGGGTTTCACCATGTTGGCCAGGCTGGTTTCAATCTCCTGACCTCATTATCTGCCCGCCTCAACCTTCCAACGTCCTGAGATTACAGGTGTGAGCTGCTGCGCCCAGCCCCATATTGGTATTTTTGATGCTGCTTCCAATTTTAAAAGGGAACAAAACTGCCATAAATCAAATTTTTCAATACTGAAAGCTAAAATATTTCCCACCATCCTAAGCAGAGAATTATTTACATTTTCATATGCTTTTCCTGTATAGTAACTATTTTGATTATATCATCAATGTTACCTGTTTACTCTTTCAGAACAGTGCTGCATATACAGATTGTTATTGGCAAAGGAAAATATGACTATCTGGCAATATTTTATCTAAGGGCAGATTAATTGGTGAAAAAATTAATTCTTGAGATGCCCATTAATAATTAGGAAAATTTACAGAGTGGTCTTACTAGAAAATTCAAGTCCTCCTAATTTATTTATTCTTGAACATGCCTATTATGTATAATGCTTAGGTTCTAAGGAAAATTAAGGTTTCATGCCAAAATACATGTAGCTTATCTTTTAGGAAGGGGGGAAAGGCTCTATTTTGACCATAATAAAGTTTATATTGTATTTTATTTCCTTTTCTTAAACTCCACTGATATGCGATTTTTTTTTATCAAAAGTTACTATTTGTGGATTGGAGGCATAATTGTAATGATTTTCAGACTTTTAGCTTCCTTCACATAAAAGTTAATTGAAACCACATATGTAGTAAAATTAAAGGCAGAGCTGTTACAGTTGAGTTGGACAGTCAGAGCAAAGAAAACTTATTAACCCATACTTCCCACCTTTCTACAGATGGTCCTTTCAGAGCTCAGCTTGAAAACTACTCCTGTGTTCTCATGGGGCTTTTGGGGTTACTGGTTCTTGTGAGAATCTGATGAAAGCTGTGGACTCTTCCTAGAAAAAAAAATATGTCAACACATACACATACAATGTTACATGCAGTTTCAAGGGATTTTGGACATACTGAAACCTGTCACAGGCTCTAGGTTATGGACTTCTGTCCCATAAGAAAATCAATATATTAAACTAAGAACTTTGCTTTTAACTTACCAATCGCTACTTGGCATGTCTTATATAAACTGATAATTTGTGATGGAAAAGGTCTGTAGCATATGATACAAGGTGAACTTATGAATGCCTTCTTGCTGGTACATTAAATTGTTTTAACATGCCCTTTGGAGGTCACGGAAATGTTGGGCGCATTACAGGCTTGATACAGAAATATTTCTGAAGGATTTCAAGTCAGAGAACTGTAAGAAAATATGCTATCATGAAATGGCAGTCTTCACCTCATGGTTCATGGAACATTTGGTTAGTCCCATAAAATCCTGTGCAAAACAAAGTAGTTCAAGAATTTATAGGTGGGTACTCACATTTATAAGGTATTCCTCTTGCTCTTTGGGCTTTTTCAGTCTGATTTATTTAAATTTTCATTTCGTTGTTTTACTTCTGGACTATGGTGCAATACAGTAGAAAATAACTTGTTACATTTGTGTTGTAGGAAAACTAAAGGTGCTGTCTCCTCCCCTTCCCTTCTCACAAAGTCTGTATTGCCCTATTGCTGAAATGTAACAGACACTACAAATTTTGTATCCTTTTATTGGGTTTGTTTTTTTTTTTTGTTGAGACAGGGTCTCACTCTGTCACCCAGGCTGGAATGCAGTGGCACTTCACAGCTCACTGCATCCTCGACCTTGGGACACATGCGATCCTTTTGCCTCAGCCTCCCAAGTAGCTGGGCATGCGCCAACAAGCCCAGCTAATTTTTATATGTTTAGTGGAGATGGGGTTTCGCCATGTTGCCCAGGTTGGTCTGGAACTCCTGGGCTCCAGTTATATGCCCACCTCAGCCTCCCAAAATGCCAGGATTACAGATGTGAGCCACCATGCCTGGCGCAAATTTGTATTCTTTTAAAATTTCCTCTGACACAACAAGCCTTTTGCATTTATCTCAAGCAGTATACATGCCTTTGGTATCAGCAGTTTTAACAGTTTGAATGTATGTATCAGCTACCTTATTCCAAAATTACATCTACTTTTTCCAGTGTAAAATCTGGTGCTTCCTGACCAAAAAGATGAGAAAAACAATGTTAAAAATATAGATGCTTTCCATTGAAATGGAGTGAAAACATTGATTCTATATGTTTTCTTTTTAAAATAATTTACTTGCTGTTGTTATTCTACTTACCCTTTTAATGCATATCAATAGTATTTATAAGATGTGTTCTGTAATTATGTAATTGTAGATACTGTTATGTATTGTTCAGTGACATCATAAGGCAGGCCCTACTGCTGTATCTTTTCTACCTTCTTATTTGTAATAGAAACTATAGAATGTATGACTAAAAAGTCACTTTGAGATTGACTTTTTAAAAAAGTTATCTTCTGCTGTTGCAAAGTGCAAAACTGTGAGTGGAATTGTTTTATTTTGACTTAATATGTTAGAAATTAGAGATTACAGTGGGAGAATTTTTAGACATTGCTGCTGCTGTTACCCAAGGTATTTTAGATAAAAAATTTTTAATAAACAAAAATCCCTTTGGTATTTAAACTAGAACATTCAGCCTGTTCATTTTAATCTAAAGCAAAAAGTAATTTGGGTCAAAATATTGGTATATTTGTAAAGCGCCTTAATATATCCCTTTGTGGAAGGCACTACACAGTTTACTTTTATATTGTATTGTGTATATAAATATTTTGTATTAAAATTGAATCAGTGGCAACACTAAAGTTTTATAAAATCATGCTTTGTTAGAAAAGGAATTACAGCTTTGCAATATAACTAATTGTTTTGCATAATTCTGAATGTAATAGATATGAATAATCAGTCTGTGTTTTTAATGAACTTATTTGTATTTTCCCAATCATTTTCTCTAGTGTAATGTTTGCTGGGATAATAAAAAAAAAATTGAATCTTTCAATTATGTGTGGAAAGCTAATTTTTACACTGCTTAACTATGTGGTTTTTAATTCAAAAATTTATGTAAATCTTTTTCTCTGAGAAAATTTATGATTAAAATTTTGATGTTTTGGAATTAAAATAGATATAACTAATGATAGTACTTAGGTTAAGGCAAGCTGAATATCACGTAAATGTCAAATGTTTTAAATGTTTTTATTTTGTCCAATATAAGTACAATAAGTATTTCCTATTAAAGGCTTCCATTAGATTACAGGTTTAGAATTTAATTATTAAATTCTACATTTAGTACCATTTTATTACAGCATATAATTTTTTAAATGTAAAAACGTTGGTTTATCTGTTTTCCTTTATAATCCTTTCTGTTTGTTTTATTTCTTAGAGATGATCTTGCTTTGTCAGACAGGCTGGAGGGTAGTGGCACAATCAAACCTCACTTTAACCTCTCAAACTCCTGGGCTCAAGCCATCTTCCTGCCTTAGTCTCCCAAGTAGCTAGGACTATAGGAATGTGCCACCACATGTGGCTAGTGTGTGTGTGTGTGTGTGTGTGTGTGTTTGTAGAGATGGGGTCTCACTGTGTTGCCCAGAATGATCTCAAACTCCTGGACCCAAGTGATCCTCCTGCCTCTGCCTCCCAAAGTATTGAAATTACACACCTGAATTACTGTGTCAAAATATATATGTCAATATTACGTCTTTTTTTTTTTCTTTTTTGAGACAGAGTTTCGCTCTTGTTACCCAGGCTGGAGTGCAATGGCGCAATCTCGGCTCACTGCAACCTCCGCCTCCTGGGTTCAGGCAATTCTCCTGCCTCAGCCTCCCGAGTAGCTGGGACTACAGGCATGCGCTGCCATGCCTGGCTAATTTTTGTATTTTTAGTAGAGACGGGGTTTCACCATGTTGACCAGGATGGTCTCGATCTCTTGACCTTGTGATCCACCCGCCTCGGCCTCCCACAGTGCTGGGATTATAGGCGTGAGCCATCGTGCTCAGCCAACATCTTTTTTTTTTTTTGGAGACAGAGTCTTGCTTTGTCATCCAGGCTGGCGGGCAGTGGCGTAATCTCGGCTCACTGCAGCCTCCGCCTCCTGAGTTCAAGCAATTCCACCTCAGCCTCCTGAGTAGCTGGGACTACAGGTGCATGGCATGACGCCTGGCTAATTTTTGGATTTTTAGTGGAGACAGGGGTTTCACTATGTTGACCAGGATGGTCTCGATCTCTTGACCTTGTGATCCGCCCACCTAGGCCTCCCGAAGTGCTGGGATTACAGGCGTGAGCCACTGCAGCTGGCCAAAATTATATCAACTTTATGTGGATGAACAAGTACTGTTTTTCATCCTCTTTTCAAGCATTGTTATCACTTTATCTTCTTTATCCTGTTTGCACTCCCTTGTAAGTTTGTATTTGTTCTACCTGAGGCTATTGTACAGCCAACACAAATTACATTATTCCTATGATTTATTGTACTACATTGTAGGCCCACATTTGGTATACTAACAGTTGTGACGGCATTTTGCTACACACATACACACACACACATGCACGCACATCTGCTTGTGTATGTGAAGAGTAGAGGAGGTTGCCAAACAGACAGTTATTGTATAATTTTTCCTCCTTCCTTTCAATAACAGAGTTACCCAGAGATTCTGAACATTTTGCTGGATTTAGGCTATGAATGGAACTTTGGGTTGTTTCCCTTGAAGAACAGTTAAATTTGTTCTGCAGCAGAAAAAAAAAGATTTTCATGAATACTTAGCTCACAGAGGGGTTGACTAATGACAGGCCACTCTTGCTCTCCAGTATCTACTCTCCCATTTTTCCTTTTACTAATAGAGCCACTATCACTTTCTAATTTTTGACTAACCCAATAGAGTCCATGTTTCTCCTATTTCCTTGTAATTAGTTTTGAGTGTATGACTAGGTTTTGGCCCCTGGGACATGAGCAGATGTGGTATGTGCAAATTATACATATAATTAAAGTTGACACTGCTTGCCCAACACTTGCTCTTTACCTCTTCCCGCAGGATGGAACATGTACATAGTGGTTACTATATTGACATGAAAATTAGGAAAACACTCTAGTGATGGTGAATCAACAAAATGAATACAATCTGGTTACCTGAGAGATGAAGTGAAGAAGGGTCATCTTTTAAGTCTGGAGGTATCAACTGCAGAATGTGAGAAAGGGCAGGAAAAAAATTATGTCTGTATACAATAAACAGACATCAATTTCTTACTGCTGCTAGCCTATACCTATAATATACCATATAATTTCTACTAGTGTGTAATCTGATTTGCAGAACAATTTAACGAAGTCATTTTGTACTTTCACCATCTCCTGTGGACTAAACCATAAAATTCAGTTATTTTACCTCAGGTTTTTCTCTAATTCATCATCTTTATCCTCATTGCTACTAATTTGGTGGAGGCCCTCATCAGTCTGAATTATTGTAATAATTTTCTAACATGAGTCTTTATTCTGGTAACTCAAGTTTATTATCCAACTTGTCACCCAAATGACCTTAAGATAATTCCAGATTCTGCTTCCAGTACAACAAATCAGATCCTAATGAATTTACTCTATCACATCTAACAACTGTAAACTCTAGGGGAGGCTGGGTGTGGTAGCTCACACCTTTAATCCCAGTACTTTGGGAGGCTGAGGTGGGTGGATCACCTGAGGTCAGGAGTTCAAGACCAGCCTGACCAACATGGGGAAACCCCATCTCTACTAAAAATACAAAATTAGCTGGGTGTGCTGGCACATGCCTCTAATCCCAGCTACTAGGGAGGCTGAGGCAGGAGAAGTGCTTGAAGCTGGGAGGCAGAGTTTGCAGTGAGCCAAGATCACGCCATTGCCTTCTAGCCTGGGCAACAAGAGTAAAACTCTGTCTCAAAAACAAAAATTTCTCTGGTGCAATAACCCAACTACCTAAAGATACTGGAATGGAACAAGACCAGGCGGATTCTGGAAGGAAGCTGATCCTTGGAAGAGCGGAGTGACACTAGATGGGTATTCCATTTTTAAGACATCTTGTCTGCGAAAGGCCCAAATTCATCTTTGGCTGAATCATGAATCAAATATGTAGGGAAGAATCCAAATATCATATCTAAGAATGAAAGAACTGACCTGACATTTGATGTGCTGCCCAAGAGAAAAAGAGCCAAGCCAAATTAATTTCCTGCTTAACAACAACAACAAAAACACCTCCAGAGGCATATCACAGAATCCAGAATATCTATAGTATAGCAATTTCAACATCCAGGCTATAACCCTTTGTATATAGGAACTTGACATACAAAGAAATATAAAGATATGACCTATTCACAAGAGAAAACACAATCAGTGGAAGTCAACTCCCAAGATTCTATTTTCAACATTTGGAACAGCTCTTACATGTTCAACAATGGAAAGGAAAACACTCTCATAACAAATGTCAAGATAGTAAATCCCAGCAAGGAAATAGAAACTATAGCAAATAACAAAAGGAAATTCCAGAAATATCACAGTATCTGATAAAATCGACAAGAATGGAGATGACAAAGGAAAATTTGAATTTTAAGATAATTACAGATTATCCATTTTGAAGGACAGAGGAAAAAGAAGTTTTTAAAAAAGGAACAGTCTCAAGGATATGTGAGACAACATCTAAAGATTTAACACGTGCATAATTGTTATGTGTATACCTCTCACCCTAGGATGATAGTAGAGCAGAACTAAAAAGGAGAAATATTGGTCTCAAGTTTCCCAAATTTGGTGAATGACAAATTTACAGATTTAAGAAATTCAGAAAATATAGCGCAAAGGGAAAAGAAAAAGACTACACCAAGGCTGGGCATGGTGGCTCATACCTGTAATCCCAGCTGAGGCAAGCAGATCGCCTGAGGTCAGAAGTTCAAGATCAGCCTGGCCAACATGGTGAAATCCCACCTCTACTAAAAATGCAAAAATTAGCTGGGCATGGTGGAGTTTGGTGATGCAGTGAGCTATGATCATGCCATTGCATTCCAGGCTGGGTGGCAGCCTGTCTCTAGATAAATAAAAAGAATTTATCTGTGTATACTTAAAATACTTATTTTTCCTTTTAATTTTAAAATACATGACAATTTAAAGTAAAACTTAAACCACATGATGTATATGTAGGTATAATACACCGGACAAGTTTAGCATAAAAGGGAAAGGAAACAAATGGACCTATACAGATGCAAGGTTTCTACATCTCATGACATGGTATAATTTTAACTCTTAAGTAGAATATGAAAAGTTGAGGCCAAGCACAATGGCTCACGCCTATAATCCCAGCACTTTGGGAGGCTGAGGCAGGTCCCAACCTTACACCTGAGGTTGGGATTTTGAGGCCAACTTGACCAACATGGAGAAACCCCATCTCTACTAAAAATACAAAATTAGCTGGGTGTGGGGGCACATTCCTGTAATCCCAGCTACTCAGGAGGTTGAGGCAGGAGAATTGCTTGAACCTGGGAGGTGGAGGTTGCAGTGAGCCAAGATTGCACCATTGCACTCCACCCTAGACAACAAGAGCGAAATTCCATCTCAAAAAAAAAAAAGAATATGAAAAGTTGACCCTGTGCAGTGGCTCATGCCTGTAGTCCCAGTACTTTGGAAGGCTGAGGTGGTCAGATCATGAGGTCAGGAGTTTGAGACCAGCCTGGCCAACATAGTGAAACTCCATCTCTACTGAAAATACAAAAACTAGCCAGGTGTGGTGGTGCTGTGCTATAGCGGGCCTAGAGTTAGAACCTGAGCAACACCATTTTATAAGACAAAGCTGTTTTTCCAAAAATAAGTTGTAATGGCTGCCCCATTCTCCTCGCAATAACTGCTGACCTTGGCTTCTGTAAATAAAACTGCTAGCTTGCTCTAAAGAATGCCCACCACGTAAAGCTGCTTGCCTTTTTCTTATCAGTAACTGTTAGAGTTGCTGGCCTTTGCTTATCAGTAGTTGCCAAAATAAGCTTAAGCTTCTGTTAAGTTGC